ACATCTACTATTCCCAGGAGGTCACTCATCTAGGTACAGACCAAGCTAGACGTTGCTTAAGTTCGATGGTCATACGAGAACAGGTGTCTCACCGTGATATGGCAAGAAGCCCATTGGGGTGAATTGATAAAAAAAAGGAAAAAAAAAAAAAAAAGAAAAAACGAAAAAAATGAAAGACTGCCTGGGTGGTAAGGGGCAACCATCGTGGCATGCCAAAGAAACTTCTTGTCAATGGTATCTAGTATTAGTAAATACCAAGAGCTTCAAGCGAAATTCGAACTCGGCTTGCTGGCTCCGTTTATGCCGATAAATGTTACGCTACCTCGTACCTCTGGTTCGGCTCTATAACCAGTATATATGTTGTTATGTGTCCGTGTATAAGTCGACCCGTAAACAGTGGCGTATTCCCCGATATGGACTGAACATATATATAAATATATATATATATATATATATATATATATATATATATATATATATATACACACACACACACACACACACTGATATAGGCACAAAAACGCCACTTAACAAATAGTTTGTATTTTTATTAATTAAACATTAAATGATTTATCAACAGTCGACACCAACTTATTGTTCGTGACGACTGTTGCCAGTGACATTTCTTTTGTTGGTCGGTTTGCACCAGTGAAAGCAACGGAAGTGCAGTTGATTTCTTTGCTTCACTTATTTTCTCTGTATACAAGTGCAATAAATTCTATATAATAAATGCAAATGTCAGTGTGTCACACCTTTTCAACTTTAGTCCTAGAGGTTGTAGCCCAACATATCATACCATTTTGGAATCAGGCCAACTCTGTGAGCAAATTAAAAACATTCCGGGCCGAAAATTTTGGATTTCCAAGTTTTCATTACTGTGATTGTTTTTGGCGATTTTTTTTACGTGATTTTTTGCGCCGAAATTTTGTACGATAACAATTTTTATAACTTGGAAATAAATTTGGGACTAATCGATATTAATTGTGAAATCCAGCGAAAGCCACCCACGAAATATAAATAATTGTTTGTACGTAAAGTAAGGACCTACGTACATCAAATTGTCTTTAAATTAAGTGGCGGCAGAAGAATTATCATTGAACTTTTGAAAGGTAAGCTTAAATATTAAATCAGTACTTAAATGCAACGATCAATTTTGAGGTCTTCTATAGTTTATTGTTGTCTATTGCATCTACTCCTCTCTCTGTGATGAAGGCCCAATCTAGATCCCCCCGCAGGAGCTAGCTTAAATGCCACCCAATAGGGCAGCTTTTAAGTTAGTATTAAAAGCTATCTTTTTACGGTGCCATTATGCTTTCATAATTTCTCAATGAGGATTTAAAAGATTGTATAAAAAGAAAAATTAAACCTTCTTGAACCTGGAGGTATTTTATCGCTAGCGAAACAAAAGATAAATTTGTCGTGTCATAATGTGTTAAGAGATCGACTTCCGGTTGCGCCATTACACATTTTTTTCTACTCGATTAAAAATGTACATGATAGTGAAGTCGTGTTTACCTATAACCGGAAGTCCTTTTGGTTTTGTGATAAGTTTTGCCATAATTTCGTTAAAAAAAAAAAAAACCCCCCAAAAAAACCTTCATATTGTCAAATTTAAAAATTCCCTTAAATTACTATTATTCTTGAAGTACTATATACGGTGTTTACTCATTGCCCCACGAGAATGAGATGTGACACAAGGTCGGATTAATGTGGGTACCCGAGCGCGTACACTCGGGCAGGGACAAAAATTCCCCTCAGCTCGCGCAAACGTCGGTTGTGCTGGCCTTGGTGCGAGCACCGATCCCTCCCTCTTGTGCAATGGGAGGGTGCGGCCTCGGGCAACTGTTCCTCAAGGCTGGTCACCTCTTCAGTATAATTTTCCTCGGTTGCCCCTGTGTCCTTTGACAGAGAAGCCCCTGAGCGCACTCTGTCCAAGGACAGAGACGCAACTGAGAGATGATAAGCCTGCATTAAAATCCCGCCAAGAGAAATTTATATGCTTAAAGTACTATATACAGGGTAATTAAAAAATAACTCCTTATTTTCTGCATGATGGACAAGACGGGAGAGTCTATCATGTATAAAATAGGGACTTACTTTTCAATCACACACACTATATATATATATATATATATATATATATATATATATATTGGGCAGCAACTTATATTTTGAACAGGTTTTGCTGAAAACGACAGACAAGGAAAAATTGAAAAAAATTTTTTATTTAGTTTTTCCGTTTGATGTGATTAAGGGAGTGTAAAAAATGTCTATTGTCCTAAGAGCTTTCGGTAACTTCTTTAACCATTTTCAAGGGGGGGGGTTAAGTGTCAATTTTTTTTTTATGTTTGTTGGTTTAAGATGTAGTATAAATTCCAGTTGGGTCATTATGTCCAGTAAGGTCATTTTTTGTTTTTTTTTATAAACAGGGATCATAACATTCATATACAGGTTCGGGGTTAATGTACTTTATTACATTTGTTTGTGAAAATGTATTCTC